CCATCCATCCATCCATCCATCCATCCATCCATCCATCCATCCATCCATCCATCCATCCATCCATCCATCCATCCATCCATCCATCCATCCATCCATCCATCCATCCATCCATCCATCCATCCATCCATCCATCCATCCATCCATCCATCCATCCATCCATCCATCCATCCATCCATCCATCCATCCATCCATCCATCCATCCATCCATCCATCCATCCATCCATCCATCCATCCATCCATCCATCCATCCATCCATCCATCCATCCATCCATCCATCCATCCATCCATCCATCCATCCATCCATCCATCCATCCATCCATTTAATCACCGCAAACTCAAGTCCTCTCAGGTACTTTAATTGTTATTTTATTTATACATCTTTGGCATACAGGTCTGTCCTCTCTTTGAACGTTCGCCGATTAAAATCTTCAAAGTTCCATACTTTGCTTACGTTGGGTTTTGTAAAAAGTTATTCTTATCTTTTTATTATTATTATTATCAATATTATTGTTATATATTATTATTATTATTGTTACTATTACATTTTATTTTTAATATGTTATATATATATATATTTTTAATATATATATATATATATCATAACCATTTTTATTTAACCAAAGTTTTGATCGAATTCGTCAACCAAATTTTAAACTAAGTAAATTATTATAACCAAAGGTGAATTTTATGTTAAAAAGTAAATCCGAATCATTTTTTAAAATAATTTTATTATTTACTATTACACATTAAAAAAGCTTTTTTCGTTTTTTTTTAACTTTTCCATATGAATTCTGATAACTTTGTGGAAATGATTGATTATGTAATGTTACAAAAATACACACTTAAATAAAGCGTTCTATAAGTAAGTTAACACTAGGCATTTGGTGGTGTTAATGCAAATGAGAATTTTTTTTACTTCCAACTTCTCATACAACAAAATATTCTTTTTTCATGGTGAAATTGTTTTTCAACTTTCAAAACACCTTCAGAATTATATTTTTTTTTCAATTTTTATTTTACATTTATTAAAATTCTTTTGTGGGTACCTTTTTTTTAAATCTACCATCATGAATTTTATAGTCATGAATCTTTCGCCTGTATTTTAAGTATTCCTTTTCAGATTGATGAAAATATTAATTATTTATTTTGAATGTTATGGCTGACGTTGCTTTTTTTAACAAGTTTTCATACTGCTACCGTTAATTTTTATAACAATTTTTTAGAATTTCTATTTCATTTTTGACTATATTTTACTTTCACAGATATTTTCAGGTGCAAAGTTTTATGGTACGCCCTTTGTATTAAGTATCCAAAATAATTTTTACACATCTTTCTAAGGCTTTTCTGATAACTTTTTTTTTTATAGATTCATGAAACGTTTGTTATTGTTTCATTGTTCTTTTTTCCGGAAATTTTTTCACAACATTCGCCCATTCATTTCTTTGTTTTACCTTTCTTTTTATCCAATCATTAATTTATTTTCTAATCAATTACTCCATTAATTCACTAATTCATTTGTTCATCCATCCATTCATTCACTCACCTCCCTCCACTCAAAGAAGCAATCGAACGAGTATTATACAGTCATTCGCATGATAGAATGGAGTAGATGAACGTTTTACATCTGAAAAACTCCTAATATAATTTCTCCATCACCATGCTGTATTGTACTGCTCCTTTGGTGAAAATAAATGTAGATATATGAAGGAGGTAGGCATGGGGTAAGACATATTTTCCACCACACTCACGCACCAGGCAAATTTTGTTATGCTTTTGCTTTCCAGCTCTCGGCATCTGCTAAATGTTCTCTTCTATTCATTTCTGTGTTTTGTTTAGCAGTGTATATTCTATATTCGTCATTTCTGTGTATGATGATCTTATGAATATATAAAAAATTGAAAGAAGTTGATGTGTGTGTGTGTGTGAGTGTGTGTGTGAGTGTGTGTGTGTGTGTGTGTGTGTGTGTGTGTGTGTGTGTGTGTGTGTGTGTGTGTGTGTGTGTGTGTGTGTGTGTGTGTGTGTGTGTGTGT